TAGCTTCTCTTAGTTCCTTGAAAAGAATGCTTTGTGCAAATATAGTTTAGACAAGATATTACACCTATGTCTTGTACTCTGATTAACTAATATGAAGACAACCATACATAATGTGTCAACTATTGTTACTGTCTTAACCTGTTTTGAAATTTGAAATGTATTAACTATTGTTACAACTAATGTATTAACTACTGTAACTGTCCTACTAACTTGTTTCATTGTTTATTTATCCTTTTTCTTTTTAAAATAAAACAAAAACAACTAAATAGTATATAAATGTTGTCAGTGTTACTGGCTTCATACATTGTATTTAACAGCTATATGTGACTAATGACTACCATAGCAGTCAGTGCAGATGTAGAATATTTAAGCCATTGCATGAAGGTTTGTTGGAAAGCTCTTCTTTAGACTCTGTGCAGAGATGGAGAAAACTAGGCAAGGTAAGATTTATCCAATTGACTGCTACTACTATTCCTTAATGTGTATTCTGTATAGTTCCTAAAAGCACTAGTTATCTTTATTTCCAAATTTTCTAAAATCTCTATAAACCTTGTTGCAATAAATCTATTTTGAAGCTGAGAGAAAAAGTTAATTAACTGCTTTGCATCAAACAGTTTTCATGAAGCTCGAATTCAAATGCAGTTCTTCATCTCTCCATATGTTTCAGTATCTTGATTTGCTTATGTTTAAATAGAAATAATAATCACAATAATAAAACCTCAGGCAGAATTAAACAGATTAAATGTAATAATACATATTTTGTGACTGGTATAAAAATGAGTAGTTAAGGGTTGTGTACCCCTAAGAAATGTACCTAACATGCACTTGAACCTGGATTTGATCCCTAGCACTACAAACACATACAAGAAGCTTGGTGTGGTAACACAAACATACAATCCCTGCTAGTTGGGATTTTAAGGCAAGAATATTACAAGATTGAGGCCAACCTGGAACAATTAGGAAGAGCCTGTTCTGAAATTAAGAAAAAATAAATAAAGCTGGAAATATAGCTCATCAAGAAGCCTTGGGTTCTATCCTTCGACCACTCCATAAAAGAACAATAAAAACAACAAAAGCAAGAGCAGTTAATAATGGTAACAGTGTGCCAATGGTTAATGGATTATAATCATAAATTGTGTTCCTTTTCATAGGATTTAGATTACCAAGAGTTAAAATGTCACAAACCAAAAGAATGAGATTATAGTCTATATATATTTTTATATTTCACAATTTACAGAAATGATTATATTAAATGTCTTCAACCTGTTTTCTATTGCTGAGACACAATATAAGACACTCACACAATAAAGGAGAAAGGTTTCTTTTGGCTCCCAGCTTGTAGAATTTTCATTCCATAGACAGGTAGCTCCAATGCAGCAGAGTGTGGCATGTGACAGTTCCTCATGATTTGGCAGACAGGATGCAGAAAGGAGTTAAAATGGTCCCAGGTGATGGTTCTGGGTGATGCTTCCAATGACCCACTTCTTCCACTAGATCTCATCTCTTAACACCTATAAATTCAACAGTGGACTAATCCACTGGTTATTAAAACTCCAATCACCTCGCCAAATCTCCACCTATGATCACATGAAGTTTGGGGAGGGTGTATCAGTCAATGTTTTACTAGAAAAACATACATAACACAAGATGCACAAATGTATAAGAATTTATAAGATTGGCTTACAATGGTCAGCCACAAAATTGGGTGAGGAAGCTGCAGGGGGTGCCTGAAAACTGGGGAATGAAAGTTTCTGTCTAATATCTGGAACTCACTGCAGTGTCCCATGCAAGTCCCTATCAGGAGGACTACTGCAACAGAAGACTCATGAATCTATGCAAGAAGGCTGAAGGATCTGAGATGGAAGCTGAAGAGTCTAATTCCTAGAAGCCAGGACATAACATTCAAGTTGAAGGCTGGAGCAAATCCATCCTTCCTCAATTCCCCTTCCTACTGTCCAGTAGACAGCAGCCCTGGCCTGAGTCCTCTACATCATAGGGTATAAAATTGTACAGGTAGCTTAAGTAAGTTTCTAAATTTCTCAAGTTGACAACAGTCAGTCAACCATTAGTAGGGGACATCTAGATATAAACTATAATATCCAATATCCTCCTTTCATTCTCACAACAGACAAGGAAATTCAATGATTAGAGAGATTAAACCATCTTTATCTGACTTATAGTTTATAAATATTATTGGGTACTTGTGAAGCCTAGTTGCATTTCTAAATGCTGAATGGAATACTAATAATAAACTTTTAGGCAGTATGATAAACAAATAAAGAGTTTACATTTTTGCCTAAATAAGTAAGGCTCAGTCTTCAACCACTTACTACATGTATGTGATTTGACAATTCATTGGAATGTGTCAAATTTAGGATTCCTGCTTTTCAATTGTAGTGAGAAAAGTAAATTGAAATACTTTAATAAAATTTAAAATTTTTCTTTTATCAACCAAAATAAATTCATTTTACAAATGTCTTCTATGTAAAGGCAAAAAAAATTATATCATGTTATTTTTTTTAGTTGTAAGAAATTTATTTTTTTTATTTTTTTTCAAAGTTTTATTGATAAACAGATAGCAATGAGACAGTTTCAAATCAAATCGGAAGTACAGTTTCAACAAATAATACACTGCATATATTCTTCTTAGTGGTTAATTGCTGTACAAGATGCGGACTTGAGATCCTATTTACAAACACCATTAGAACAAATCATTCTATTCATTAACAGAATGCAACTATATATCTATCCCAACCATTTTGAATACACAGATAGAAAATGGACATTCATCGGTATACCCCATTTTTTCTAAGTTCTGTTATTGAATATTATAGGTGTGTAAACTCAGCAAAATATTCTAAAAGAGTCCAGTAGCCCATAATAGCATTGGGTCTTCTGTTTAACTGGCAATGTCAGAAATTATTGACCTGAGTCCCCCACAGCTCAACATAATAAGCTTCTCTTCTGGAGGGTTAACAACCTAAGTTTGCAGACCAAAATTAGGGAAAAAGGAGTGCTGCAAGGAAAGCCAACATTTTGGCCCTAGCCTTCCAAGGTCAATTAAGACTCAGGACATATGAGAACTTGTACTGTAACGTCATGTAACTCGGTAGTGTCCCAATTTTCTGATTAAGGAGATTATGGGGGCAAAGAAGAAAGTTATCGATGATGTAGAGTGTGCCTAAGGAGAGTCACATGGAGAAAGAAAACATTCTCTCAGGCTTTCACAAAGAGCACAGTGGCCAAGCAATGGCCGTGACTCATCCACATGGCTGACACTGACAAAGGTTCTACAATCTGAGGTACAGGATCTCAGGATAAATCCTGAGGGGATTTCACTGACCTTATCAGACCCAAAAGGTACAACTCTTGTTGGATAAGTCCTGCTTTACCTTGGTCTTAACCATCCAGCAGAAAAATATAAAAACGAGATATAAGAAGTAAAGCCATGGTGTTATGTTGAGCTGTAGGGGACTCAGGTCAACAATTTCTGACATCGCCAGTCAAGCAGAAGACCCAATACTATTATGGGCTACTGGACTCTTTTAGAATATTTTTCTGGGTTTACACACCTATAATATTCAAATAACAGAACTTAACCAAAAAAAAAAAACATACACAGATGAATGTCCATTTTGTATCTGTGTATTCAAAGCGGTTAGGATAGATATATAGTTATATTCTCTTAGTGAACAGAGGGATTTGTTCTAATGGTGTTTGCAAATAGGATATCAAGCCCACATCTTCTACAGCAGTTAACCACTAGGAAGAATGTATGCAATGTGTTAATTATTGAAACTGTTCTACCAATTTGATTTGAAACTGTCTCATTGCTATTTGTTTACCAATAAAATTATGGGAAAAAAATCAATTCCTGACATTGCCAGTGAAGTGAAAGACCCAATACTATTATGGACTACTGGACTCTTTTAGAATATTTTGCTGAGTTAACACACCTATAATATTCTAACAATGGAACTTAACAAAAAAAGGGGATACAGATGAATATCCATTTTGTATCTGTGTATTCAACATGATTAGGATAGATATATAGTTACATAGATATATAGTTTATAGATATATAGTTACATTCTCTTAATGAATAGAGGGATTTGTTCTAATGGTGTTTGTAAATAGGATATCAAGTCTGTATCTTCTACAGCAGTTAACCACTAGGAAACACATATCTCACAGGGATAAGCACATAAACTCTCTATATGTTTTGCATCATAAAGATCTATAATAAAATAGCTTAAATTTTTTTTAAAAATTCTAGATCATTAGATACAATGAGTTCAATATAAAACTTGTTGGGTCTTACCTTTCTAGATCAGGTCTTACATCAAGGTAGCAATTTGGGATTTTGTGCATGGTGTCTCTTTAAGATTTAATGTTTCAGGGGCCGGGGAGATGGCTCAGTGGAATAAGCACTTCCCTGGCATGCACAAGGGCCTGAGTTCTATCCCCGGTTCAGCAAAAAAAAAAAAAAAGATTTAATGTTTCAACTACAGTTTTTCTCTGCTACTTTATGATTTATATATTTTTAAACTGCAATTTACAGCTGAACATAGAAAATTGAATTTAAAAGATTTATATGCTATACATACTTTCATAAATATCTGGAAGCACGATTTTTTTTCTTTTTTTGTGGTACTGGGGATTGAACTCAGGACCCTATGCTGCCAGACAAGCACTTATTCTACTCAGCTATCTCCCCAGCCTGGGAAGCATGATTTTAAAGTAAAACTTTATAAGAGAAATAATTTCCTACTTTCTTATTTTATCATTTTGATTTTGATGTTTATGTAAGTGATATTTGTAATATCAGAATGAGAAAATATTTTTTTGTTTTCTGATGAATTTAGTAAATGGTGGGATTAATCTCTGTCATCTCTAATCATTTTTTTGCTTTGATAACGTGTATCTATTTGATGAGAAAATAGTTTTATTAAACTGCTATATTTTAGATGATATGTAAAATAATATATTTGCATTTTAAGTTTTTAGGACCTTTAAATGAAGATTTCTATGTAGAAGATTTTTACTTGCTGGAAAAGATAACATTAAGCAATTTAGCAGAGAAAATTAAAGGCATTGTTGAAAATATAAAAATTAACTCAGAACAGTAAGTAAATCATGAGTGTAATTCATTTTGGGATTTGAAATTTTGTGTGTGATATTTGTTTTTAAGATTTAATGTTTCCACTATGTAAACTGGTGCATAGTTGATACCTGCAGATACTATGAAGCAAACAGTAGAAGTCCGTTAACTTGTCGCTGTAGATGTGTCTTACTCTTTCTCTTAGTTCCTTACCTATGCAGCCCCAATCCCTCTACCTGACAGGAATCATTTTTATGAAGGTTGTGTGTGTGATTCTCATTTGTATTGATACTTTTGCTACACAGTATGAATACCTATGATCAGTGTTTATTGTGTTGAATACCTTGACATTTTTAGAGAAATGCTATTATACTTCAGTTCAGTGGTGGCCAACCTGTAGCACAAACCTGTGGCCCCAGAGGGCATGCAGAGCCCTCTTTACCAACACGAGAGCCAGACTGACCCAGTATTGTCCTAAGAGACAAATATTGGCACTTCAGGTTTAATTGTCCTGTTGGCACTGTGATAAATAATTGGGCTTTGGGTTGCAGTTTGGGCACTCACTTTTAAAAGGTTTGCCATCACTGCTGTAGGTTTTCTTTATACTGTTTCATAAGAGCTTTTAGCTATATACACATACACAGATCTCTCCTTCAGCATTAATTATAGTATGAAACTTTTCTTTCTGAAAATCTCATGTATTGTTTTATCTTGTTTATCTAGCATGAGTGACATTGTTATGAAAGCTGATGCCCTTATTTCCTCTTGGCCTAAGCGTACATCTCGGTATAATGTCACATTTCTCAAAGAGAACCACAGGTAATGATATAATGGTTTCCATTCAATTTTTTTCTGTCAATGCATGCTAAGTTCAATTTATTATTATTATAACTTTTTTGTATTTTAGGGAAAGGTCTGCAGGGTGTTCAGGGTCTCACTACTAGATTGGACTCATAGTGATCCGCCTGTTTACAGCCTCTCAAGAGCTGGGATTACAAGTGCACACCACTATGCCCAGTCTAAAGCTCAGTATTGTTTCTATTTCTTTTCATGAATAGTAAAATTTTAAATGGAATTACAGGTTCTTTGTTTGAGAATAAAAGGAAAAGCACAATTGTCTTTTTTCTCTATTCTGAAGGATATCTGAATCTCTATGCTACCATATTTTCTTCCCTTGAGAATAATGTGTAAATTTTGTGCTTTTCAAACATTTTTGCCAAAAGTGAAAAGCAGTCTTAATCTGTCATCCCATCATCATTGGAACTCCGTGACAAATGCAAGTTGTGTAAGAGTATACAGTGCAAACCATCTTGAAGGAAGCTTTGCACGCTGCTGCAGTAATGACCTTCCTGTCTGCCATGAGCTTACCATGAACTTGGCGCTAAGTTTACCAGCTTGCAGAATTCCAGAGTTCATGAAATGACAACAAACTTAATATTCAGGCAGAATGTTACTATTTTTAGAATAAAGAGGACAATGGAATTTCTCCCAGGATCCTTCATAAAAACGAGTTTTCCACTGTTGTGGCCTATTTGAAATACATTTAGAGTATCTAAAAGAGTTGATAACTTTTCCATACTTCAAGCAGTTCTTTACTGTTTCTGTTTCCCTAACCTAAGCTTTAATAATTATTGGCTGTCATTATACTTGACATTATCCCTTCGGGCTAATGTCATGAAATATATCAATAATTTCTTAGCAAGTGAGTATAAATTTATGACCTGAAATACAAAGTGGAGGTAGAGTTAGCATCTTGTTAATGTTGAATGAAAAATATGTTCTACTTCCATTCTGAAGGTAGTCAAAGTAATACCTATAAGTAGGCTCAGAATTCTACTCAGAACGTTATTTTCAATCTCTACAAGCACTAATAAAATCAGATGATGAGGGCTATGGAATTCTGACTTATATAGCCTCACACAGTTAGTACTGATTGGGTGAGAAACTTAACAGGATTTTGAATGATGGCTATTAGTAAGCATGTGTTACGGTATCTAGAGGAACAGAATCAATAGAAAAAATATATAATTGGACAAGGAGATTTGTTAGGTAAAGATGGGAAAATCTACAGTGACTATCTGTTTAATCAGAGTTGGAAAAATCCAGCAGCTTTTCAACAAAGAAGATGGAAGCCACAGAACTAAGAGATGAAGGTTGCAACACCAGTCCAAGATCAGACTTAGCTCACTGGAGGGTTGCTGGTTCCTCAGCATTGGAAGACTGAAGAAATTGAAGACATGAAGACAGATGCCCCAAGAGACTGTGGCAGAGTATGGACCCATTGAGGAACACAGGAGCTCCTCAAAACAGGGGCTCTTCCTTTCCTTTGTGTTCTATCCAGGATATAAACCTATTGGTTGGTGCCACCCTAGGCTGGGACTCCTCTCTCAGTTTGTATGCCTCCATTTCATCATCCACAGACACATCCAGAACTGTGCTTTACTAATCCTCTATGTGTTTTTTAATTAATTCAAGTTCACATATCATGATTAAGGGTCACAGACTGTAATTTGTAAAATTTGTGCAGGATAACTAAAGCAACAATTGTAGTGATTCATATTAATATTCTACGGAGTTTATAACTTTTTTCTACTAACAATTATCTACCATCCATTATCTGACTCTGCTATTGTTATATTTAACATCATTAAATCATATGAGCTACATGTAAAAGAAAATTTCTTTCAGTTGAAATGGTTTTATTAGCTTTATTTAATTGCTGAACAAATTCTTCACATTGCAAAAAGTTGTACCAAAAAAAACTAATATTCCTGTAAATTAAATGTGTAGCTCTCCATTTTGTAAGTTTTCACTTCTAGAATATATAAAATATACAGTTCATTTGTCCTATCTCAGTTACTTCACTCGTTGCTGACAAATACCCACCACCCAAAATGAAGGAAGGAAAGGTATTTAGCTCACAGTTACTGGAGGTTTCAGTCCACACTTGGCTGGCTCCAAGGCAGACTGACACATGGCAAAGGACAACAAATCATGGTGGTAGAAGACAGCAAAACAGCAAGAGCAAAAGGGGTAATAACAGCAAAAATGGCAACAGAGAGGAAGTCTGTCTCTTTTAAATTGCATTCAGGCTAAATGCCCCAGGCTGGGTATAGTACTCACACCCATAATCATTCCAGCAGCACTTACACCCATCATCCCAGACTTGCTCATGAGTTATCTCAAACCTTAGAAGTCCCTGCTGCATGAGGCTTTGGGGTAACAACTAGATACAAACCATAACACCTATATCTCAAGAAAATAATTCAGTATATGAGTATTTCCTACTGAGCTTTTCTTATAACATTTTCCCATTCCCTTTTAAAGATTAGCCCATCTTTTAGTTTAGAACTTGTACCAGTGACAAGTGGAAAGCACCAAGGGAAGGAGGTGAGGAGAGGAAGTCTGGGATGGAAATAAACTGGGATAAGCCAGACATAGAGGTACCTATCTGTAGTATAGTACTGTGGGAGGCTAAGGCAGGAAGAGCACAAGCTTGAGTCCCATCTAAGCATTCAGTGACTTAGCAAGATCTTACTTCAGGGTAAAAAATAATTCTTTTTTTTTTTTAATTTTTTTTAAGTTTTATTTATTTATTTATTTATTTGTGTGTGTGTGTGTGTGTGTGTGTGTGGCCAGCTCAGCCCACCAGGGGGTGGGGCTGGCTGGCATGTGGTGCTGGGGGATTGAACCGCGGTCTCTGTGCTTTGCTAAGCTTGTTCTAAGTAGGTGCTTTAGACTACTGAGCCATCTCACCAGCCCCTAAAAAATAATTCTTAAAGTGCCAGGGATGTAATTCATTGTGTGAGGCCTTGGCCAAATCTCCACTACCATAAAAATAAATCACTTACCAGCCAATTATTTAATGCAAGATGACCAAAAGTTGCATTTCTATAAGATAACAGGAAGTATAAAAATAATTTTATCAGGTTTGTTCAATATAGGAATCCACTGGTTGATGCCTGCCTAAGTATCTTAGTATGTAAACAAGTACTCCGATTTACACTCACAGTAAGTTGTTAAGTGGTTAATAAAACCTTAAGTATACTTTTTATTTCCCTTTTCTAATAAGTTGATTTTATGAAACAAACATAATAAAAAATACTGAATAGTTAATTTTATTATTCTCAAATCTGTGCGAATGTGTTCAACTAACTCATAAGCATCTTGGCTGTGTTTTTGTTGTTTTATTTCGTTTTGTTTTGTTTTTCAGGCAGGGTTTCACTATGCAGATCAGGCCAGCTATGAAATCACTAGGTAGCCCCAGTTGGCCTCGAACTCATAGCCGTCCTCCTGCCTCAGCTTCCCAAATGCTAGGATTTGAGGCATGCACCACTACTTCCAACAGCTTTATATTTTTATCTTATATTGCCCGTGTAGATTTTGAGGGCTTAAAATTTAATACATACTATTCTTTGAAAGATTTTTAACCACACCCTTATACATTTTTTTTTTAGTTCTTTGCAGTTTTATAGCCCATTGAATATGGACTTTCAAATTTGCATTTTGTTATATCAAGTAACAAGGATTTTTAATCTCATGACAAAGAACAGTTTGTGAGACTATATGAAGTTCTGAAGATTGCAACTAATAAAATGTTTGTATAAACCTAACCTGTCATAATGCTTGTGTTCTATTTTTCTAGCATTATAAAGATAAAGCCTCAAGAGAATGATGTGGTCTTTGATGTCATTGCTATTGTTGACCCCTTGACAAGAGAAGCACAGAAGATGGCACAGTTACTAGCTGTAAGATATTTTTACTGTGAAATGTACCTTTTCATTTCTATTTTAAATATAGTCAAGTATTTGTGTTCTTAGTTCTGTTTATTATCCAGCTGCTTAATGGGTGATCTTTTTTTAGCATAGAAAATAAAATAAGGGCTGGGGAGATAGCACGGTTGTCTAAGCACCTGTCTGGCAAGCTCAAGGACCTGGGTTTGATCCCTGGTACCACATGCCTTGCTGGCCCCGGAACCCTGGGTACTACACTGGCCCTAAAATCAGGTATGGTGGTGCACACCTGTAATCCCAGTGCTGGAGAGGCTGAGACAGGAGGATCACTATGAGCCCAAGCTGCGTAGCGACATCCTTTGCCGAATGAATGAATGAATGAATGAATGAATGAAAGAGCTGTGCCCAAGACATTAATAGTATTGAGGTATTACTGTGGACTGAATTATATGCCACATGACATTCGTATTTCACCAGATGAATTATTCTTCAATTAACTTCATGCCCTAGCTCTCTATATGTAGAGGTAGGGCCTCCTCTAGGAGATAAAGTTAAATAAGGTCATAAGTGGGGTGTTTTATTTGGCCAGGGTACACACCGATAATTCTAGCACTTCGGAAGCTGAGACAGAAGATCACAAATTCAAGCCCAGCCTGAGCAACATAGTGAGCTAGAGAGACACTATCTTCACTATTCAATCCCCAGTGCCAAAAACACAAACACACAAAAAAAAAACAAGGATCATGGTTCTTTTGGCTTGGTGTCCTCATGGCCTCATAAAAAGAGAGAGATACCCTTTCCCAAACACATAAAGAGGTCATGTAAACAGAGGGACTTGAAGGCTGCAGACCAAGAAGAGAGCTGTCATGTGAAACCAAATCAAATAGAAATATAATCATAGATTTGCCAACTTCCTAAGCACATGAAAATAGGGTTTGTTTGTGGTCTTTTGTTTAAGCCACTGAATCTGGTATTTTGTTTCAGCAGCCTGAGTAAACCCAGGCAGGTGTCTTCACTGTGTTGTGAAGGATATGCTTTGGACAAGCTGATACTTGAGCCTGCTTAGGTAAAGCTTACAGTATAACTAATATTATTTAAACAGGCAAAGGGGAGGGAAGGGAGAACATAGATTTTACTCTGTAGATTAAAAAAAAAAATAGAAAACACCGTACCTTCCAAGATGAAGTCTCTGCCATCTCACACTCCAAGTGTAAACTCTCCATAGCTGCTAACAGCCCTCCGTGGTATGAGTGGTTGAGTCACTGTCAGTCAAGTTTTTCAGGCATCCTCATGCACTGCCTTCTGTCTGGTGGTCTGAGATCACTGGCCCACCTCGTGACAGCTCTGATGTGATCTCTGTATTACCGCAGACAGGAGAGAACAAGACCTAAGTTGTACACAGTCAGTCTGTCTTTCCTCATGGATGAGAATGCAGACAGTCATCTCATACTTGATGACAAGGGAGGTTATAAACTGTGATCACAAGCCTTACTTATAGTTGAAATTTCATTTTTATACCTCACCCCCCACCCCATGACACTTGGGATTGAAGCCACAGAAGGCTTAAGTTTAATTCTTCTTAATTGATGTTTTATTTTGTTAGACAGTCTCACTAAGTTGCCCAGGTGGACCTTGAACTTGGAATTCTGCTTCAGTCTCCAGAGTAACTGATTAGAGGGATGTGCCCATGGTACCCAGTGTAAAGCTGAAAATTCGTTTACTAAGAAAATAAGCAGATGTTATGAGATAGCCATATATCCCCTAAAGGAATATGTAGACATTGAGTGCCTTATTATTTTACTAAGAATTATAAAGGCTCAACTTTTAATGTACCTTTCAGTAAATTCGAATATGTGAGTTATATTAGAAGGCTATATAAACTAGTAGTGATGTTCAAAGTTTGAGTGATATTACTGATAATACCAGTTAGATATTACTCAACTTTTTTAAAAGACATTTTTAAAATATATTCTCAGAAGTGATACTGTCCTTCGACAGTTGATGTCAAGAACAGAAACAGGAAAAGGTACTTAGATAATAAATCTGATTAATAATGTAGGTGACCAAGCTAGGTAATGTTGATATATTCTATGAAAACTTTAATTTTCTCAGAAATTTATACTATGTGGGCCAGGGAGATAACTCAGTAGAATAAGTGCTTGCCTGGCAAGCATAGGGTCCTGAGATCAATCCCCAGTACTGCAAGAAAGAAAGAAAGAAAGAAAGAAAGAAAGAAAGAAAGAAAGAAAGAAAGAAAGAAAGAAAGAAAGATTTATACTATGAAATCACATTGAGAAAAGAGATTATAAAGATCTGTACATATATTAATGTAGACACACAATTTTGGAAAAAGGTCACTATCAGCCATCTTTTCAAGTTTATAAGCCCAGCAAACCTCAACATATGGCTAATTCCCCATTCTTTTACCATTTGTATACCTTCAAATTTGTACTTCTTGAAATACATTATTCAGATTATTCTTTAGAAAAGAGCAAAAATAAAAAAATTAGAAAAGAGCAATAATCTATAAAGGAGTGAAGCAAATGTGCAAATTCCATTTTAATGGAGAATCATTCAGGGTCAGTGAAGACATTGAGACTTTATGTAAATGTATAATTAAGGAATCAGAAGTATGTAATTAGACAGACATAAACGTGTGGTTTTACTCTAGTTTATGGATAATAATTACATGTTTTGTTTCTGTACCTTCTATGTTCCAAGTATCAATCATATCAGTGTTTTGGAGGTGTTTTGTTTTGTTTGTGTTTTGCTTCTCCCTTTACATGTATCCTTTCTTGTCTGTTAGCTTTTCAATCTTCAGTGATTTGTTGCCTAATGTGGAAATGCAGCTATAAAAATTAATATTTTTTCTCTTATTTCTTACTAATTTCAAGAAAATAGAATACATCTGTAGACAAGAAGTTCCTAGATCTTTTAAAATATACATTAAAGTTTCAAGAGCCGAGGCACAGGATGAGTGAAACCCTCTTCCACCCGCTTGGGACCCTCCCACTACTCCACAGGGCCCCACCCACCCACCATACCCACCAAGTAAGAATTTCTGCCACGTTCTGGGGACCCCCAGATCCAATCCTAGTCCAGGACCTGGTGAATGTGTGGGAGAGCTTCAGACCACCCTGTGCCGGCGGGACCCGCCAGTCACAGCCCAGGAGCAACATGGGTGAGACCCTCTTCCACCCCCTTGTGACGCCACCACTCCTCAACATTCCACCACCCCGCCCGCCCAGTGAGAATTTCTGCCGCATTCGGGGGACCGTCAGATCCAACCCTAGCCCAGGCATGGTGAGAGAGCTTCCTCTCCCGCCTACTCCACCTTGTCCCCTCCAAACTCAGCTCAGGCCTGGCATACAGGCCTGAGGTGAAACCCTGCAGCTGCAATCCCTGCAAAGAGAGTAGGGGACAAAGTCACCCAGCTAGTCCAGGAGCAGAATATCTTGCCAGAGGGGCACAATAAGATCACTTTCAAGAGCAGCAGCAGGAACGAGTGGAGCACAGCAGCCAGACCCAAGCCAGGCACAGCTGGATAAATCCAAACTTTGTAGATCTGCACCTGAATTTCAGTAGGTGCTAAGATTATAACTGCACCAAACCTCTACAACAAAAGTCAGAAGACAGTGCTACACAAAATGACAACAAGAAGAAGGAAAATGCAATCTCAGACCCCAAGCCCACACATAACAAGTGCAGAGGACACTAACAAAGAACAAATTGGGAATCATACAGCTGAAATCAGTGAATAAACAACTTTTGAAATAAAGAAACAACTGCAGAAAGGTATAGAGGAACTCAAATTGGAAATGAAAAAAGAAATCCCTGATTTAATAGCATCTGCAGTAAAGAATCAACTGCAGAATCATATGGAAAAAACCCAATGCCCACACAGAACAAGAGCAGAGGACACTTGCTCAGCTAAAATATATGAATTAATAGCGTCGATTGTAAATAAGCAACAGTAGAAAGTTATAGAGGAACTCGGAGCAAAATTCTTTTCTATTACCTCAGCTCAAATGTATGAATTAATAGTGTCCATAGTAAATTAGTAAGTAAGCAAAAGCAGAAAATTATGGAGGAAATCAGAGCAGAATTCTTTTCTAAAATAAAAAAAAGAATTCTCTGAACTCATAGCATCTGAAGTAAAGAATCAACTATAGAAACAGAGAAGAAACCCAATCTGAAGAAAACACAGCAGTAAAAGAATTAATACCTGCTTCTAAAGAAGACATTCATTAAAAAATATATAGGAGATTAGAAAAATAACAGATTCCTTGAATGAGCAATAAAAGAAAGAAATAGACCGCATGAAGCAGAGTCAAAGACATATACAGGAACTTAAAATCTCAATCACAAGCTTGCCAAACCATTTAAGTGAAAGTGAAGAGTTTCAGATCTTGAAGATGCTGGTGCAGCTAGTAAAAAGGTAAGAAAAGATCTCTTAAAAACATCTAGGATGCAGGAAAAGATTCATCACTTGCAAGACGATGCAAAGATGAACAATGTGAGACTAATAGGTATGAATGAGAAAGGAGTCAATCCAAAGGACATGGAAAAACTGTGGGCAGAAGTAATAGCAGAAAACTTCCCAAATATGAGGAAACAATCTGACATTCAGGTAACCAAAGGATACAGAACACCAAGTAACCTCAACCCAATGAAAAACACACCGAGACATATAATACTCAAGATCTCAGAAACTCAGCTCAATAATAGTATACTGAAAGCTGCTAGACAAAAGAAGCAGATCACATTCAAAGGAAAACCCATCAGAATTATGGCCGACTTCTCTTCACAAACCATGAAGGCAAGAAGAGCATGGAG